GAAAAGAGGACTTAACTCTAACTTACCCAGTATTGTTTGTTATCAACTCCTTTTACAGCTGTAAAAGGAGCTGCTAGAAAGTCATTTATTTAGACAAGCATTGGTGAACTGCTGCTAGAGAAAGGTTCTTTATAAACAGTAGGAAAAAATTTGAATGACTTAGGATGCAAAATTCTGTGCTAAAAATTCCTTCCAGAAGAAACCTTTCATGTTAAATATGCCATATTGTACTGCAGAAGCTTCCTTGGGTTAAAATCAAGGAGTCAGGGTGAGTGCTTATGCTTTACAAACTACTACTCTTCCTGTTAGTAAACATGGGGAGAAGGGCGAACACTTCACAATCCATAGTCTTAAAGCAGGGTTTGCTTTCTTTCTATAGATGATACCCAATAATGAGGACCAATCTATGAGCAAGCCTTTGGGGAGAAATGAATAAAACCTGGAAAACTAAGCAACTGAAATTTTAGCTCTTTATAACAGAAAAAAAAAAAAAACAGCAGTAACAGAAGCCAATCAATTTTATCTGTGCTCCCTCTAGTCAACCAGGCATCTTATCTTTCTTTTTTGTGTGTGATACTGTTGGATTTTTTATGGTACATTCTGTCTGCTCTGCTAAGGTTGATCACACTCTAAATGGTGTGTTCTAGAATCCTTTTGCAATAATTGAGACTGTGTCAGCGTGTCTGTTCATGATGACTATATGTGTGAGAATGATTAGTTGAAATGCGAATACTAAATGCCATTAGTCTATGTAAAATAAAGCAAAGTAAAGTTCTTCTCCAATTTCCTCTCCATTGACTGTTTTATTCCCTTCTTGGGTTTTGGAGAAAACTGGGGCCAAGTTTTAGACATCTTTGCCACTATTACCTTCCAAGTAAATTTTGAAAATATTATTTCTGCTATTTATATAATAGAATGTAGGTTAATTGGGGATTATTTGGAAAATATGGAGAAGATAAAATTATTAATGCCCTACGTTCCACATTCCAGATAACACCACAATTAATATTTTGATGTAGTTCCTTCAAATACATATATACAAAAAATGCAATCATCTGTATTAGGAAGATTTTTGTGCTTAATATTATATCATGAGCATTATTCCTTGTTCTTGTTCTTAATTTTTCTATAATTACAATTTGCACTGGTGATATTATATCAGTGACATTGTACCTTCTCATGTCAGCATGAGATTACTATCCCATGCCGTAATGTCAGCATCCTAAAAACAATTATAGCTATTGTTAAAGCATGATTGAATTTGAAATATGATAGAACTTACAAGGTCATTTTCTATTCTACTACTGGATCATTGAGAGAAAATGTTAAATAGGGTGCTTTTTAATGACTGTTAGAAAAATACTTCCAGCATCTCATCATTTGGAATAATAATAACTAATAATTTTAGAGAAATAATCTCTATCATCTTAATAATTTATCCTCCTAGGTCTAGATTACTAAGAGACTTTTAACATCAACGAATGTTGATTCTATCAAATGACTTTTGGCATCAAGGTAATGTATTTTATTTTGCTACCTATTTGTTTTATGTATTATATTGATGGATTTCCAAGAATTAGTTTGGAATTTTGTAGATTAATTAAAATAAATCACATCATTTTAGTACACAATTTGGATGAATGTACTATGTATTATTTGCATATTAGATTGATCATAGTTTTATTCGCTCTTGGAGAGTTTTAGGGTAAAAGGCTATTTTAGTTTGATAAAATAATTTTACAAAATGTTCCATAAATGTTTCACATAGGAACATGTTATATAGGGCATAAATTATTTGCTTTTAAGAGTACAAAATAACTATCTAAAGTATTCTGTCCATTTTGAAAGACTAGTACTCACAATGGGAGCCCTATTATGTATCATGGTATTTATGGCATAGTATGCTTGAACAAATGAGTAAATGAAGAATGCAGTGAAAGCAGAAAGCACATCATAGGGACATCCTACTAAAACCAAAAGGTGAGAACATTTTCCTAAAAGAGAGAACATCTAAATTTGGAAAAGTTCTTCCAGCTTAAGAAAATAGCATGTACAAAGACTAAAGAAGAAGGAGTAGCATTGTGGTGAGGCTAAAAGAAATTCAGCATGGTCATCACAGAGCATTGGGGGTGTCAGTGTTGGCTTCAGAATTTCTACACTAGAAGGACCTATGGGTGACAATATTGTTGGAAGAAGAGTTAGAGAACTTTTCTTGAAGTTGTGTTGCATAGCAAGAACATTTTTTTTCTCAGATTGTATTTCTTTATTTATGTGCTTTTTGGGAAGAGGCCGATGAAGATTATCGGATTGCAAACCCACCCAACAACTCCTTCCTTGACACCATAGTGGGAGGGGAAGAAAGGAAACAGGAAGTTAAGATAGACTTTTTGTAATAGGTTAATTAAATGTTTTGTGGTGAAGTTATTGTTTTTATTTTTTCTCATTCACTTTTAATTCTGAAAGAAAAAAACTCTCCCTTACCTGGAACCTTTTTTGAGCAGCCATTCATCCTTCATCTCTTTCTCCTCAATGATACAAATGTTTATTTCACTCTATTTAACAGTAAAAAATTGGCTCCTTTTCCCTCTCCTCCTCATCTTCCTCTTTCTCTTCCCCTTTCTCCTTCTCTTCTTTCACAACTGCCTTCCAAACATTTGGAACTGCTGCTTTAGCTGATCCGTTTGTAGAAATAAGTCCATGTACTAATGTGACTATAAACAGGAAAGGTATACAAATAAGACATTTTATGATATACTAAGATATTGGAACCATCATCCCTTTTGCTAACTTTACCAAAGCCACTGTCCAGATGATACTCTAAGAAAAAGAAAATGATGTGAAAAGGAAATGAAAAGGAAATATTTTTCCTGTTCTGCCCTTATAGGAAGATAGGAGTGCTGTCATCTATAACCAGCCAAGAAGCAAGCCCATCATCCAACTCTTCTAGTTCTTTGGATACAAAAAAGCCAGAGAAAATGTCTGTGGTTGTGGGGTGATGATATGATCAGCAATAAATATTTGTATTTGCCACCACAACCCAGGGAACATAAGCTACAATGGTGATAGTAACAAAAGTAAAAGACAAAACTATTTAATGTCATAACTCAATAATCATGTTCTGGCATGTTAACAGAAAAAAAAAATAAAACAATTGAGGGCCAAATGAGGTTTTAATGATGTGAGGATACAGTTATAAGCAGGCACAGCTCAGGAAAAGATGAGTTGGAATGGAAAAAGTAGAAAAAGCAAGAATTAGAACAATTAAAGATCCTGAAATATATATTGATTTGCAGAGTTAAAGACAAAGGCTAAAGAACTCCAGGTGTGTAATTGGTAGAGGCAAATGTGATGGTAAGAATTCTCATGTTATTATTATTGATTATGTAATTCTCATAATTGTGAAATTGCTTGCTATGTATAGAAAACTATAAAGACCACATTATAAAGACTACAGGAAAAAGAAGGCTATGATTCAGCCTTCATAATTTACTATCATATCACATATGATCAGAAATAAAACAAGCAAGTGATACTTGCTATATAAGTTTAACACAGCAATAAATATTTTGTAATAGTCTTCTCTTGTGAATAAACAGTGTAGGAATCTGTGAAAGATAGTATGATCTAGTGGTTAAGAGGACTGACTGGAGCCAAACAACTGGCTATTGAAGTCTAGCTTTACATTTATTACCTCTATGACCTTGTAAAAATTATATAAACTTTTCTGTCTTTCTTTCCCCACCATCTAATGGTAGTTTAAAAATGGAATCTATGTCAGAGTTGCATTGAAGATTAAATAAATTATACATTCAATGAACTTACAGCAGTGTCATGTGCTTACCACAAAGTACTCTATAAAAATTTGCCAGTATCAGTTCAGTCACACATGGAAGCTTCATGGCCAAAGATAAAAATAATACGGAAGAGCTGGGGATGCATTCCAAAGCATCAAATACAAAAAAAATTGAAAGAAAGTATATATGAATAAGTACTTATAAAACAATATAAACAAAATATGCATCTAAGAAGTAAGTGGTAGAGAAAGAAGAGAGTTTAAAGCAATGGGAAAATTGAAAAAGTTGTGAAGAAAGGTAGTACTTACTGACTTATATTAAAGGAGAATGAATTCCAGACCCTGAGGAAACCTGTTCATAAAGGCAATCCAGACTCCTAAGTACTTGAAAGGTCCTGGGAACCAAACTTCAATGATTCCCAGACTCTTAGTTGGTTAGATGTCCCCACTGGATCAGAAAATGTTCGTGTTGCATCAATTATGGTCCCAAAATTTAATCTCCTTGCCCTAAAATTAAAAAAACAAATAAAATCAATTTTCATTCTGAACCAGACAACTACACTTTAAAATTTTTAATTTACAATATTTATGAACATATAACTATATATTAACAGTTATATTTGATTATATTGTATTTTCTTACATATAATTTTAGATGATATGCTGGAACTACCTACTATGCCTGCTACGCAATAGATGTTGTCTAATTTAACTATGCCACAGAGTTATAGCTTTCCCTGATTTTTTCTAGCTGACACTAGTATCCAAGCTAGCTGAGACTGAGAAAAATAATTTTAAAAAGTCATACCAAGGAAAGTGGCATAGTGCCAAACCTATGTGATACTTAACATTAGATTCAGCTTTATCATAAAGTTTTATTTCAAAATATTCATTAATAAAGAAATTCATATTTATATCTGCATTTGAAAATAGTTTGTCCCTAGATTTTATGTAATTATAGGCTGACACTTTCCAGCTCAATTCTCTTTTCTGCTGTTATGTGATATTAAGTAGTATTGCTCCATCTCTCAGAGCCTGTTTCATCATTACTAAAATTAATATAATAACCTTATCACTGCTGATTCCAGCAACTGTTCTAAGAATAAAACAGCAGAGTAGAAGTGAAAGGGATTTAATAAATCCATATCAAAAATTCAAATCTCCCTGAATCATGTCATATTCTCAACCCCACAGGTGAAATGAACACATGGAGATGGGAAACAACTCTGCTGTGAAAGAGGTCTTTCTGGTGGGGCTTTCCCAATACTCAGAGCTCCAGATTTTTCTGTTTATACTCTGCCTCATCACATACATAATAATCCTCCTGGGAAACAGCCTCCTCATTATCATCAGCATCCTGGATTCTCACCTCCACACCCCCATGTACTTCTTCCTTGGAAATCTCTCATTTTTGGACACCTGCTACACATCATCACCCATTCCTACAATGTTTGTTATGTTTTTGTCAAAGGGAAAATCCATCTTCTTCATGGGCTGTGCTCTGCAAATGGTTATCTCCCTTGGTTTGGGCTACACTGAGGGTGTCCTCCTGTCTGTGATGGCCTACAATTGGTATGTGGCCATCTGCAAACCACTGAGGTACGCCATCATCATGAACAGAGAGCTATATGTGCAAATAGCTGCATGGTCCTAGATTATAGGCTGTCTGACCTCCTTAGTGCAAACAGTCCTGACAATGGTGTTGCCTTTCTGTGGTAATAATCTCATTGATCATATAAGCTGTGAGATTCTGGCTCTTCTTAAACTTATATGTTCAGATCTCTCCATGAATGTGCTTATCATGGCAGTGGCAAGTATTGTTTTATTGGTGATTCCTCTACTGTTAATTTTTGTCTCCTATATGTTCATTCTCTCTTCTCTCCTGAGAATTGATTCTGCTGAGGGAAGAGGAAAAGCCTTTTCTACCTGTTCAGCTCACCTGACTGTGGTCATCTTATTCTATGGTTCAGCTCTTTTTATGCACATGAAACCCAAATCAAAGTACACAAAAGTATCCAATGAAATCATCTCACTGTCCTGTGGAGTGGTAACACCAATGTTGAACCCCATCATCTACAGCCTGAGGAATAAGGAAGTCAAAGAAGCTGTGAGAAAAGTACTAAGCAGACACTTACCTCTGTGGAAAACATTAAAGACCTTGAGACATGTGATCAGATCAGGTGTTTTGTATTCACAGATAAACTCATGGAACCCAGCGTCAAGAGAGTATGTCTACTTGTTAAGCCAAATATTGGATTCCCATTCTTTCAACACAGAATGCCCATGTAAACCTTCTACATGGTGTCTTGTCTGCAGAGATTCCAGCTGTATGCAGTTCGATTAATTGATTCCATATAGGGTTTTTCATCAAAATAAATCTGCTCTTTCTTCTCCACTCTCTGCTATCTCCTTTATCCTCCCTATCTCTCTTTCTTCCTTGTTTTCCTCTTCTTTTTTTCTCTTCCATTTCTTCCTTCTTCTTTTCCTTCCCCTTCCTCCCTTCTTCATCTTCTTCCTTGCACTTCCTTCATTCTGTCTTCTGATCTCTTTTATAAGTCATTTTGAATTTAACATCTATTGCTTTGTTGTTGTCCAACATTTCCTCTTTTTGTAAAATAATACATCTTTTTCTTTTGCCAATTCAATAGTCTCTCTCTCTGAGTTCATGTGGTACTGGCTGGGGCTAACCCAAAGTTCTGGAAATACTCAAGCACTGAACAAAGGCCTAACCAATAAAAAAACAAATCCCTCTAGGTATAGTGATCCATTTGAGGTAGCTCAAATCAGGCTAATCATACTCAACCCAAGAAAGCTGTTCCAGTATGAGAAAAGAAGCACTCTTTCAGCTAGGGTTGCTAAACCGGTGGAATATACATCTAGAACCAATCTGTCAGTACGTGGGGAAAGTCTGAGAGGCAAAAAGAAGGTGTAAGGAGAGAGAGGGTATCTGATGCTGTCATTTTAACTCTCTGATTCAGGTGTGTCTAAAGTCAGTTTCACAATTACTCATTTTGTTATTTGAGTGAATAAATTATCTTTTACTTTAAAAAACTAATTTTGAGATGAGTTTTGTCACTTATAAACATATAATCCTAACTAAAGTATTCCTTTGTATCCCTATTTTCACTCATATTATTGAAGCAAAAAAATTAGAGAATATATTATCTAAGTAGTCCCAAATACTCTAGATTTCAAGAGTTCGCCTTCCCTTTAATAATGAAATAACAATAATCTAATGTCTATTCTCTGAGCCTATAATAATCAGTCACCTCCTCAATTTCTGAGGAGTGGTTACATTTTTCTAGGTTCTGGTTTTCATTTTTGCTCCATATTTTTATTCTAAACTTTTCCACCATATGTCTCTGGTATTTGTATGTCTCTGTATTATTTAAATGCTCAGCAGTACATTTTCCCCACAAAGCATACACATATGTCTCCTAAACAGCCACATTCAAAGGGCCAGCATGTTTAACAAAGCTTGAAAATAAGATAAAGGGACTATGATGCAGCAAGAAAATGAAATAAACATTAAATATCATTGCTTTTTGGTATTTATTAGTCATGCCCCTTGTGGGCCCTCTTAAGTCCATTTTCCTCTTAAGCACCTGTTCTGTTACCAGGTTGATAATGTCTGTTTTCAACGGTCTTCTCCCATAAGAATCAGTAATACTTCCCTCCCATAAAATGAGTGGATACATAACTCAAAGCCACCCTCATCATGGCCCATAATAGAGAGTGAGTCCACCCCCAAAGCAGACTGCAGCTTCCACTCTTAGAATTTTTCTCTTGGAAATTTTCAGGAAGTTTTAAAATAAACTCCTCAACAGCAATGATCTAGAAATATTGAAGTCTAATCTACAAGCACCTTGAATGATGTGTTTTGTTTGTGAAAATATATCAAGCTGTACACTTAGGATTTGTACACTTTCACGATAAGGTCAAATAAAAAAAGAAAGTATAACCCATTGCCTGCTTTTCATTAGGAATATTAAAATTATCATTACAACCCTTATAAAAGTAGGGCCCGTGTGGTTCATTCTTAACCAAAAAACAGTTCATAAATCAATAATACTTTTATCATCCTCTGTTTGAGTTTCTAAAGAGCTCCAATACCACAACAATACTTAATAGAAAATGCCATTGCATTACAGCTCACAACTGCTCTGGAACAGCTTCTTCCATCATTTTCCTTTTTAAAAAAAAACTGTAGTAGTATTATTATTTTTTAAGACATGGGGTATAATTCAAAATTAGGTACATAAGTGGTCATAATACAGGTGAAGTTTGGGTCTCCCATTGATCCTCACATCGCCTGGCTTGGGATCAGGTACCCTTGGTGATGTTATGTGTCCTCCCTCCCCTGGCAGTGTCCTGCTACTGCCAATTCCCTTCTTGTAGTATTATGATAAAGTGTTCGGGGTCCACTTATAAGTGAGAATATGTGATACTAGTTCTTTGTTTCTATGATAGATCACTGAGTATGATAGACTCTAAATCCATCCAAGTTGCTGTAAAATCCATAATTAGATCCTTCTTTATGGCTGCATAATATTCCATCATGCATATGTACCACATTTTATCCAATTCATCTCTTGTGGGTAGCACGGTTTGTTCCATGTTTTTGCTATAGTAAATAGTGCTGCAATAAACATGCGTGAGCAGGTATCTTTTTTGTAGAATAATTTGAATTCCTCCCAGTATATGTCCAGAAAAGGGATTGATGGGTCATATGGAAAGTCAGTTTTTAGATCTTTTCGAAATTGTCACACTGTTTTCCACAGAAGTTGTACTAATTTACACTTCCACTAACAGTGTAGAAGTGTTCCTTATTCTCTGCATCCTCTCCAACATCTGGTGTTTCTTGAGTTATTAATGATGACCATTCTTACTGGAGTTAGGTAGCATCTCAGTGTGGATTTGATTTATACTTCTTTGATGATTAGTGAGACTGAGCACTTTTTCATGTATGTGTTGGCTGCTCATATATCTTTTGAGAAATGTCTATTCATATCTTTTGCCCACTTTTTTAATAGGGCTGTTTTTTGGGGTTTTTTTTTTTCTTTTGGCAAGTTTGAGTTCCGTGTAAATCCTAGATGTTAGGTCTGTGTCAGATACACAGTTGGGAAATATTTTTTCCCATTCTGTGGCCTGTCTCCCCTCTCTCTTGATGGTTTCCTCTGCTTTGCAGAAGGTTTTCAGTTTGATGAGGTCCCATTTGTTGTTGTTTGCATGGCCTTTTAGGGTTTTGATCAGGAACTGGTTGCCTATTCCAATTTCTGTAAGGGTGTCTCCTTTTTTTTCTAAGACTCTTATAGTTTGAGGTCTTACATTTAGGTCTTTGATCCATTTAGAGTTGATTTTTGCATATGGTGATACGTAGAGGTCCTATTTCATTCTGCTGCATGTGGTCAGCCAGTTTTCCCAGCACCATTTACTGAATAGGCTCTCCTCTCCCCAGGGATTGCTGGTGGAGGCTTTGTCAAAGATAATTTGGTTGAGAAATTGAGGTTTTGCTTCCAGAATCTCTAGCCTGTTCTTTTGGTCTATCTACCTCTTCTTATACCACTACCAGGTTGTTCTGATTATTGTAGTCTTATAATAAAGTTTAAAGTCTGGAAGTGTGATACCTCCTGCTTTGTTTCCTTTGCTAAGAATTGTTTTGACTAGTCGTGGTCATTTATGTTTCCATATTAATTTCTGTATAGTTGCTTCCAGGTCTGAGAAGAATGCTGTTGGTAATTTATTGGGTATTGCATTGAATCTGTAGATTGCCTTTGGTAGGATGAATATCTTAACAATGTTGATTCTTTCTATCCATAAGCATGGAATATTTTTCCACTTGTTTGGATCCTCTTTGATTTCTTTGAGCAGTGTTTTGTAGTTTTTGTTGTAAAGGCCTTTCACTTCTCTGGTTAGGAAGATGCCAAGGTATTTCATTTTTTGTGAGTATTGTGAATGGGATTGTGCTTTTTGTTTCTCTGACAGTTTGTTGTTGGTGTTTAAGAATGTGACTGTCTTTTGCATGTTTATTTTGTACCCTGAGACTTTTTCAAAGTCCTTTATCAGTGCAAAAAGATTTTGGACAGATTCTCTTAGATTTTTGAGGTATAGGATCATATAGTCAGCAAAGAGGGATAACTTGATTTCCTCTTTTCCTCTTTGGATACTTGTGATTTCCTTCTCTTGTCTGAGTGTTCTAGCTAAGACTTCCACACTATGCTGAACAGGAGGAGTGAGAGTGGGCAGCCTTGTCTGGTTCTGGTTTTCAGGAGAAATGCTTCCAATTTCTGTCTGTTAAGCAATATTTTGTCTGTGGGATTATCATAGATGGCTCTTGCTATTTTGAGGTATGTTCCCTGTATGCCTAGGTGTTCAAGAGTTTTTATCAAGAAGGGAAGCTGGATTTAGTCAAAAGCTTTTTTTGCATCTAATAATATAATCATATAGTTCTTGTTTTTACATCTGTTGATGTATTTAATTACATTTATCGTGTTGCAAATGTTGAACCAGCCCTGCATCCTGGGGATGAAGCCTACTTGGTCATGATGGACAATTTTTGAGATGTGTTGTTGGGTCCAAATGACTAGAATCTTGTTGAGAATTTTTGCATCGATGCTCATCACAGATATTGGCCTATAGGTATTTTTCTTTGTTAGGTCTTTACCCAGTCTGGGTATCAGTGTGATGTTAACTTCATAAAATGATTTGGAGAGAGTTCCATCTTTCTCAATTGCCTAGAGTATTTTCAGTAGGATTGGTATCAGTTCCTCCTTGCGTGTTTTGTAGAATTCTGCTGGAAAGTCATTTGGTTCAGGGTTTTTATTTGTTTGTTTTTGTTTGTTTGTTAATGTAGTTCTCTTATGGTGGAGTCAAATTCCTGTGTTCTTATTGGTCTATTTAGGGTCTCAATTTCTTCTTGTTTCAACCTTGGGAGGGTGTGTTATATTAGAAAGTCTTCCGATTAATTTAGGTTTTGAGTTTGTTTCCATACAGGAATGTATAGTAATCTCTGATAATCTTTTCTATTTATTTGGGGTCTGTTGTGGCTTGATCTTTTGCATTTTTGATTGTGTTTATTTGGACTTTTTAATCTCTTTTTCTTAGTCATTCTGGCTAGGGGTGCAACAATCTTGTTTATCCTTTCAAAGAACCAGTTTTTTGTTTTGTTGATTTTTTTCAACAATATTTTTGTCTTCTATGTCTCATAGTTGGACTTTTAGTCTGGTGATCTGGATTCTTCTGCTGAAGGTAATTAGTTAGTTGGGGTTTTGGTGGTCTTGTCTTTCCAGCTCCTTTAGGTGATTTGTTCAGCTGGTGATTTGTTCGGCTGTTAACCTGTGATGT